ATAGTTTTGCAGGGTACATCAGTCTGGGTTGGAGGCTGTTTTCCTTTAGGGCTTGAAATACATCACTCCAAGCTCTTCTTGCCTTGAGGGGTGGATTGAAAAGTCTTATGTGATTCTGATGGGCTTTCCTTTGTATGTGACTTGTTTCTTGTCTCTCACTGCTTGTAGAATTTTGTTCTTCTGTTGGATTTCTGGAATCCTAACTATTATATGCCTATGTGTAGATTTTTTTTGATATAAGGCTAGCTGGAGTCCTGTATACCTCACCTATCTGTATGTCAGGTTCTTTTCGCCTGCTTGGGAAGTTTTCTGCCATCACTTCTTTGAACAGTTGTTTTTTTTTTTTATGTCATCTGCACTCTGTCCTGTTTCTTCATTGACTCCAATCAGTCTTATGTTATTCTTCTCTGCATCGTCTAGCAGCTGCTGGATTGATTTCTCATGGTCCCTTACAATTTTAAAGCAATTTTTCTTTTCCTAGTCACTAATTGCAATCTTATCTTCTATATCTGAAATTCCATCCTCACATGCACTCATTCTGCTGTGTGGACTTTCAGTGGAGTTTTTAATCTCCTGGAAATCTGTTTGCATCTGTTTTGTGGATTCCATTTGTTTTCTATGCTGGAATTCCATCATGTTCCTCAGCTCCTCTATTTTTTTTATCTATGTCCTCTCTAGACTTATTAATCACGTCTTGCACTATGGGCACAATCTCTGCTGTTATCTGAGAAATTATTTCTGATTTCACTTTTTCCAGATCCTGTTTTCTTGCCAGTTCAGGGAGTCCAGGTGTTTGAGTATCAGAGTGTTCCATCTCTTTTCCCTTTGGGGTTGCTATGGGTGATCTGAAAGTCTGTTTTTGAGGCTTGTTTATGTGTCTTTTCATTTTCGCAGGGGAGGGAGGTGCTGCCGGCACCTGCATGGCTCACCTCCTCTGCTCTAGGAGCGAGCAGTGGAATGGCAGTGGGGAGCCTCCTCCAGGGCACTGGAATTGGCTCACCTCCTCTGCTCTGTGAAGTCAAATTCTTTAACATCCATTCCATGTAACATTTCTAATGAAATGAAACCTCTTCTGATTGTCTTTCTCTACATTTTGGGTGTTGTAGTTTGCACTTTACTCTAAAGGAATGCAAATGGATCATGGATTTATTTTCACCATAAAAAGGTATTTAAGGGTAGCATTGATTTGGTCCAGGTTCCTAGAGTACTGGTTCTTGGAAGCAGAATTACAAAGACCAACAAAAAAGTCTCATTCCTTGTTTACAGGTGATCCTGCCCGACCTTGCTGTCTTAAGAATAGCAGTGTATGATGATAACAACAAGCTGATTGGCCAGAGGATCCTTCCACTGGATGGCCTCCAAGCAGGATACCGACATATTTCCCTTCGAAATGAGGGAAATAAACCTTTGTCACTGCCAACAATTTTCTGCAATATTGTTCTTAAAACATATGTGCCTGATGGATTTGGAGGTAAGATAGACACTTAGGTTCAGAAAATGATACAGATAAGATACTGAATTACAAGATTCTAAAACATTTTGCCTGTGCTTTAAAAGTAATAATAATGATATTTATTCCTCCCTGTGTTGTAAACCTATGCTTGTAAAGGCTTGTAGCTTTGAAGAAATTAAAAATAAATAACCTCAGATCTCAGAGGTAGAAATGAAAGGGCAAGGCTAGATTAACTTTAATGTCTGTTCTTATTTTAAAACATTTTAATTCTGTTATTAACAAGTTTTACAAGTACATTTTTATGAAGGATATATTTATACCTCTAATCAAAGTGAGAAAATAATACAAAACCATATTGTATCAACTGATATCACTAAAATATTTAAATTAAACTCAATTACCAACATGCCTGAATTTTGTTCCAAATTCACAAAGAAGTTTAATTTATTTAAAAATTCCCAATCATCATCCACATTGACTTTGCTAAACCAATCAATGGGAAGAACCCACTAGACCAAGTTTTAAGATTTTGCTTACACCCAAATAGATTATTAACTCTTGATAGACTCCAATAAGCCATGAATGTTAAAAGTGCTCTAAATTCTCAAGATTCTGTTGAACCATTAGGAAACAGTATGGCAGAGTGACTATTAGCCAAGGGTTCAAATCCTAACTCTCCGTTACTGGCTGGTGGCCTTGGGAACATGCTGTAACCCTCAAACCCTCATTTCTTCACCTGTAAAATAAAGATCATGGTATTGCCTCCCTCTTAGTATTCTGGGTAAGTACTCACCCGTATGTTACACAACACAGCAAGACTCAAGAATATGTGTGCACATGGGTATCTATATGTAGAGAATGGTACACTTTCTATACTATTTTGTTAGGGGAATATGGTGCTGTGGCTGATGGTTTTTAGTAATGTATGCTTCTCTGGAGAGTAGCTTGTCAGAAACTAATCTTCACCTTTAACAATTTGATTGCAGGTTCAAAAAATAAACTAAGCCGTAAGGGCTTTTCAGTCTCACAATCCATAGTAATGACTTCTCCTTCCCCTTTGTTTTTCAAAAAGCAGAAGCACATTAGAAGTTACAGCATACAGGAACAGATAGAGAACTCATTAAAGGAGTCTAGGAGAGGTATTGTGGGGCTGAGTAAGTGGATGAAAAGAGACAGGAGGCCTTGTGTGTTTAGGAGCTGCAGCCCAGCCCATGGAAACCTCAGAAACCTGCCTTCAGGGTAGCACAGCAGTGATTCAGAGGCATCAGCAGATGAATGAAATCACCTTCCACATATCTGAGCTTAAAGAGCAGGGACCCTGTGATAAATACCTAATGCACTTTAGAAAGAGCTGCATAAGCCCATATAGGAAAAATTTTTTAAAGTTTTGCTTCTGTATGAGTTAAGTTTCAAATGAAATTAATTCCTTCCTGGGAAATGAGCCATTTGATGAGAAAAGAGAAAAAAATGGTTTGTTAGGTTCCTATTTTGTGCCAAGCACTTTCCATAAAGTCCAAAAATGTGAAATTGTTCAGGATGGAAGTGGGCATACATAGATCTGTGCTGAAAAAAATACCTGCATTCATAATGTAACTCATTGCCAGAGTGGATGTTTAAATACTGATCCCAGTTCATCTCATTCATAATAGACCTGTGAGGATTCTTCCCTAACATGTCATAGCTGCTTCCTTTTTATCAGTAGTTGGATTTCTGCACTATGTCACCACTGATGCAACCCTGCAGTTGAAGTCTTACCCTCAGATTTGACATCCAAACACAGTGGATTTAGAATTCTAAGGTCCTCTCTTTTATTTAGGAAGAAGCTGAGGGGAGATGTTAAAAGATAAGGGATATAACATCAACTTTGCCATAAAGGCACAGAAACGTTGGTGTATAATACCCACATTTATTATTTAGAATATTTCTAGTGATAGATTATTAACTTTATGAGTTTAATTATATTAAACAATGAGTACTTAACAGGAAAAAATGTCAAAAAATAAAGTATTGAATTTGTAATAATTATTGAGTGTTCATATCAAATCATCAAAATTTTCAACATCAATTTTTTTGGTGTACGTCTAAAAAATAACAATAGAAATAAATTCCTATATGAACTACAATGAAAATACCAATAGCACTCTATACAAAAATAATCTTTTCTTCAATTATCACACCTAAGGCAGTGTTCACATGTGACAACAGCATGCTCCATACACATGTATTGCTTACACAGACAGCATGTGTGTTTTGCTTTCCTGGCCTTTTTGTAGGACATACTTGACATCTCACTGCTCTTGCTGTTCTGTCAGGATATCCCTATTATATACAATGAGTAGTTAAGAGAAACAAAAAATATCAATGAAGTATTAAATTATTAAATTGTATCGTATATTTAGAATAAACATCAACACTTTCACATCAGCTATGTACTTGGTTACAAAACCCAAAAGATAACATCAGAAATAAATTTCTATGTGAACTCCAATGAAAATACCAATAGAACTCTTCAACAAAAATAACCTTTGCTTCAGTTGTCACACTGAAGGCGGTCTTCACACACAACTGCATGTTCCATGCACACATCTCACACAGCCAGCACTTGTGCTTAGCTTTCCTTTCCTGCATGGCAGGCCATTCTTGTTACCTCTCTTCTCTTCCTGTTTTGTCAGGAGCTTCCCACTATATTGTACAATGTGAACTTATTAGGAAAATAAGATATCAATAAAATAACCTATCAAACATATAATGAGTATTTAGATTAGACATTAACATTTTCACATCAACTGTTTATTTGCTCACAAACTCTAAAATATAGCATGAGAAATAAAAACCTATGTGAACCACAATGTAAATACAAACTAAAGTCTACCACAGAAACCATCTTTGCTTCAACTGTCACACACATGAAAACGTCATGTTTTATACACACATAACAAAACGTATGTTTTATTTTCCTGTCCTTTCTTGTAGGGCACAGCTGACATCTTTTTGGGTTTTCTGTTGTCATAGTAGGTCTTTGTGGTGCTGCACCTGCCTGTTTACCTGTCAGCTCCCCAGTGTGCTCCACAGAGTTTTTGTGTAGTTCCCTGGGCAAAAACATTTTACTTTTCTTCTGCTATAAATGATATCTTATAAGTTCCAGTCCCGATCCTCTAAGAAAATTTCTCCATGATATTTTGCACTTGTTATTTTCTTTGTAAACTGTCAAACTATGCCATGCATGTTTAAAATCGAGTAAAACACAGCCACTAGCTAATGCTTTGTGTTTTGTTACATCATAGTTGCTGCATAACTCATCAACAGCATCTACTCCGCTTTTGTTTCTCAGCCTTCTGTTTTATAGAGGTTTATTTTCAGTTGCATCATGTTGCAATGTTGACATCAGCAGTACTAGTTTGTTTTTCTTTTCCATATACAAGGCCAATGTAAATCTTTCTGAAATCCAAAGATTGTACTATATAATTCACTACTTTGAAATTGCAGCATTTCATTTGGAATTTCTGCTTTGTTCCTGCGTACAGCTCCCACACTGGTCAACTTATGCTCTGTTAGCAAATGTAACATCGATTGGAAACTGGTAAACCAATCGTCAAATATCACATCCTCATTAGTTTGGGAGATGGGAGCAACAAGTCTGTTCACAACATTATCTGGTTTATTACTATATGAATAAGGACCTGGTGGCTGAGTTCCAGGATAAATTTCCAAATTGAAAGCATAGTAAGTCTTCACATCTACAAGGGCATATTTTGACCCATCACTTTTCTATAAGTCTTGTACATTCCTGAGATTACCATGAGAAATCTCTGGTAAGTAAAGCAGACCTAGGAATTCTTTCAGTTCAGCTAGTGAGATGTCATGATAAATATATTTTTAATATGGCTATTGGTATATACAGAATGTTTCATTTATATTTAAGCCTTTCTTTGTGTATTTCACAACATCTTATAGCATTTCATCTGTTACAATTTCCAACGTTGAATGGCAGTGCTGGCATTCTGTATAATAGATTTCACCCCTGCCAAGATCATCACTATATTTTCAGACCTAGTTCCAACACTGGATCATTCTATTTTATTGTGTGACCATTTTATAATATTTCAATTAGACAAATATGCATTCACATTGCTATTTTGTTCACCATCTGAATCAAGGTGGTATGCATTCCCTGTGTCTGTGTCAGTCGATTCTTGCTCCATTTCACTGTCACAGGAACTTTGGCTCACATGCCCAATGTCAAAATCATTATCACCCCTACAAGTGAATCTGATGATTCACTTTTGACTCCCCAAACTTGCAAATAGGATTTTTCATATGCCATTGTACTGAGTTGGACTATTTCTACCAGAACAATCAAAAGAAAACTTTAAAAAAAAAAAACAAATCCTAAATGCACAGAAATTTAGCAAGGAGTGTTTCATGAGTAAAGCTCAACTGTTGCTGCTTTGGAGCTCCTGTACACACCTTGACATTCCTCTACCAAATAGGTGAATGTACAGATGGGTTTTTGCTTTCCCCAGGTGCAGCAACTGAGTCACACCCACCATTCCATTATGATAAAATACATGTTTTCGCAACAGAAGAGTGATGTGGGTGTATTTTACCCATGTGATGGTCAGGTAAACATACACAAAACTTATAGGAGCATTATGTGGATAAAAATCCCAGTTTGACACTTTTGCACACATGCACATACTTTGTTATTCATTGTACCAAGTGGGCAAACACAAAGATTGCTTCCTGTATCTCCCAAGTGCAGCTATTGAGATGCATGCCTGGCTACTATTATGCTAAAGTACAAATTTTTAGTAGAAAAGTATGGGATAGGTTGTTGTAACCCAAAGCTTTCCCCTTAAGGATCTTATCTGAAGATACGGAAAGAATAAAAAACTGGCTTTTCCTAAATTTCTGACCATCTTCACAGCTTCTTAATTTATTTGTTCCTATTTCATCTACTAAGCTCACCTCCCACCTTCAGACCTAAGTGTTTATGTACTGAACCAGTGAAGTAGGAA